ATAAATCATTAATATAAAATGTGTTTTTGATTCCGGTTAAATAATTTTTAAAACACGTATTACTCTGTCCCCCTTTGTCAATGCGTAGTTTACTGATTTATTTAAAACTTAAGGGATAATTATTTTTTAAAAAACTGAAAGTTAAGAAACAAAATTAAGGCATTACATTTTTAAAAAATTGAAATACAATTATCAAGATGCTTAAATTTTTGATTATTTTACATTAGTACTTTACGTTAAAAACTTTTCAGGGTAGATAAAAAAAAATTAATGATAATTATTTTTATATTTATAGAAATTTATGCAAGATTTATGCAAGATTTATAGATATTTTCAAAATAATAATAATAATAACTGAGCTAACAAAGTTGTCCATTACATTTGTATCATAAACTGAGCATCATCAACTCAGAATTTTAGACCATTTTTCAAACTCATTACTTTCCAATTTTTTGATTTGTATGTATACAAATTAATGAAAACAGAAATGTGGTTCATTTTTAATATTCTAAAGTTAAAAGTACAGGTGTGATTTTTTTTTCTTGTGGATGTCTGTTTTTTTAGAATAAGTTATATGTTTAAGCCTGTAGATGGCGACGCCATATGCCATTTTTCATACACGAACTACTGATTATTAAATACGTTTAGTTAGTTATTACTTTGTTCTGCTTTAAATTAAATTAAAATAATGATTTAAAAAAATCATTGCAACAACTTACTCTAGTACTAAATATTGATTTATCCAGATAATATATTATTTGTTTAAAATAATCTGACGGTCAATTAACAAATTCAGCGAAAACCAAATAATGCAGTAATATTTCTTTTTGCTGCTTTTGAACACAGGAAAAATTAAACAAAGCTATCATTATTCTGAAAGAAAAAGAGTCCCTGCCAAATAATTTTACTTCGGAATTTGGCGCGGTCAGTTACATATGCGTGGAATCGGAAATCATTTTAGATCTATTCTAAAAATACTTCTTTAATGCTGGATAGTAGAAGAGTGTCTCCTGACAATTTTCATTACATTTTTAGATCACAAAGTTTACTCTTTCATCACTAAGCAATTAATTTAAGATCATAACAAAGCGCATTTTTTACAAAATTAAATCACTTTCCCTTTCAGTATAATAAATAGTATAAAATAGTTGTAACTGTTAGCAGCACATACATATACTGTTCTGAAGCATATTTCAATTACAGCAGACCTTTATTTAATAAGAAAGTAAGAAACCAGAAAACAGCTAAGTCAAATTATATATATAGGTGCAAAAGTAATCTAGATATATATTATAAATGCGAAAGTTTGTGAGGATGTTTGGGAGTCTTTCACGCAAAAACAACTGAATGGATTTTGATGAAACTTTACAATAATATAGCTTATACATCAGAATAACACATAGACTATAATTTATAGAATAGCCTATAATTTATAAAGATATTGTGAGAAGTGTCCAAAATACAACGATATTTGTCAAGTAAGTAGGAAAAAAATCTGCCATCTGCAGCAATTCTGGCTTGCGCTGCAAGCAATCACACGTCAGCATATATCTTTTGTTTGTGAAAGAACTCTTTTTGTTTTGGCTACGCAAGGCGCTCGCTTCTAATTAATTCCTGTTAACAGCATAATCCCTAATTTTTTTTATTTTAGAATAAAACTAAGTTTTGAAGGGAGAGGTTGTTATAAATCTAATTCATTTTAATGTTTTTTTATGATTTTATTACGCACATTTGGTAGTAAGAATTGATCTTTTTTCAAAATAAATACTTTTATTGCGCTTCTGGTATTTACAGTAGATAAACTTTGTCTTTCACACTATATCTTTTGGGCATATTTGCATAGTTTGTTTGTGGTTAGTAGTTAATTATAACGCTATAGTTTTAATTGAATATGCGGATATTACGTTTTTAAGTATAAAAATAATTCTAACTACTGTACTGTATTTTTCGGAGTGAAGTGAGTGAATATTAACGTCGCACTGTTCAGCTACAAGAGGGCTTTTAGCAACGGACCATATAATTTTAAACCATGCTCAAATGACTGGATGACACCTGAGCTGGCACCCCTTTCTCCTAACTACCACACCACGCCAACTTAGAAGGAGTATTCTTTGAAATCCACTCTTCTCTCCAAGATATATGGCAGCACACGGGTCTTATGATGAGCATTTTAGCGGGGAAGGTGAACAGTTCTGCAGCAGATATGCGTTTTCAGCGGATTGCAAAGATTATTATTTTTGTCCCGAAAAAATAGTTTATGTCAAAATTTAAGTGTCTTATGTATTTGTATGTTAATGAAGACTTAAGAAAACGATTTGACTATTTATTTTGAGTGAACGGTGTATATAATTAATTTTACAGTGGAATATCTTTAATTAATTTATTATCTCTAACGGATTAAATTTCCCAAAGTGGAGTATTTTGTTAATGTATATCCCTTAATTAGTAAATGTAGTGATCAAAAAAATATATTGCATGAAAGAAACTGCAGTAAATCATAATGTGGTAGTTAAAGCTTTAACGTGCATCGTCCCTCTACACGGCGGGTCTTACAAAGCTCTAATAAAGCTCCAGCTATGAAAGTAGCTAGACATTTGCCAATTTGACTGTCGTTACCATTTCGCTGTGTTTTTCATTGAATCTCCATTATACCCATTATAATTTATGAAACGGCGTTGCTCGCGAATATTACAATTTTAACATCAAATAAATACAACAGAAAGTAATATTAATGTATTACACTTTCAGATATAAATTATTTACACTATTTTAAACGTTCATTACGCAACACTTTTAACAATGTGTTACTTTTGCTGAGCAGAGATCAGCTTAGGGAGGTATTTTGAAAAATCGACCGTCAAGAGTGTTACGAGGAATTATAAATAAAAAAAAAATCCTTTTTATCAGCTATTAGATCTACATACTTAAAATTTAACAAAGGTGTTTTTTTTTTGTTTAGCTAAGATATGCAAAAAGCTTTTTTTTTCTGTTGTTTAATTTGCAATTAACGTAAATTTAACTCATTAAAAACTTCTTTATCCCTCAATCTGTGTTGTTTAGTTTTTCAGTTCACCCGTGCGAAGAACGGGCATACCAGCTAGTATTAAATAAATTCTACATTTTTTAATATGAAAGTTGAAAAATTTTGTCACTTGAAATTTTTTTGATGAATAGCTTTTTTCTTTTAATGATACGTGATTTGTGAAATCCAAATGAGCAACCGTAAAATCCGGCCTATAATGCGCCCTTTGAACACAATTATAAGATCGAAATTTATGAGTGTGTGTTATACGCTGGGTATAAAATGATAGCTTATAAAAAATAAAAAAAGAGATGAGCAAAAAAAAAATGACTTCTACAAAGATCGGAATACTTATTTTAAAAAAAATGACATACCTAATGAATTTAGGTTGTATATATATAATACTATATTTTTTTCAAACGCCTGGGATAATACCTCGAGCAAATGATTTCAAAATGTAAGAGCACTACACATAAATATTTCAGGTATCTTCGTAAAAGAGGTTTAAAAAATAATAAATGTAAAAATTTAAAAAATGTAGCTTGAAAGTATAGGTGCGCGTTATATATATATATATATATATATATATACAGTGCGCGTAATACACATTAGATTTTACGGTAAATAAAAAATTTATTTCCTTCATTTTTTTTTTCATTTTATTACTTGTTTACTCTTATTCTCTGTTTTGAATTAATTGTTGCAAGTGTTATTTTCCCTCTTATTTATTTTTCATTCATTTAATTTTGAATTATTTAATCACTCCTGTATCCTTCCTTTTAATGTATTACTCGCTTCTCTTTTATGTAATTACTATTTTGGTTTCTTTCCCTTATATTTTATTTAATTTATAATTCTGTAGTTCCAATTTTTTAAGTGTTTCTTATTCCTTACGTTGAATACAGCCATTCTTTCGATCTATGTTTTATTTTTTAAGCATAAGATCGTTTTTTGGCTTTCGTCTTTATGTTTTGCACGAATTTTTTTATCCCGTCAAAATAAAATACTTTGTACCATGTGAAAGTATAATGCTCTTAAAAAAATGATTCTGAAATTTTAAAAATGTATTTCAGTATTGATATTTTCCGTTAAGATTGCATTTTGCATCCAAACTTTCGACTCCAGAATAATATAAATATAGAATAATTATTTGTGTAACGACTGCTTTTATTAGTCTTTCAAAATTCGATTCGGAAAAACGTTTTTCCATTTTCTTCCAAATATTTCTATTAACTTCAATAAACGAAATCAAAATTTCCTTAAATAAATTGTACTTAGTAAAAAGATCGTTTCTGTACATTAAATTTATAATTTATCGACTACTCTCGTTCAGAATGTTTTTCACTCATATAATTGTTTTCAGTAATGAGAAAAATTCTTTAGTAAGTAAATACGATAGATCGCAATAGTTGTAATTGAATGCTAAGCAAGAGCAATGCTATCTGTAAAACTGTTTACACTTCACGAAGGACTCTTCGGCAGTGGAAAAAACATCGAGTTGGATACAGCTTAGGCACAAAAATTCTCGTACTCACTTAAGTCTATCCCATTTAATATGCAAGTTAAGATTAAACATATAATAACCCATCAAACAGGGCAAAATTATTTTGGTTACGGTGCAATGCAACATCATAGAGAGAGTAAAACTACTAAATTTAAAATTAATATCGTCACTAGAGAATTCCTGATAAATTTGGCATTTATTTACATTTGAAAAAATTACTCTTTAGTCTTTTAATACCTCTAAAACTGCATTATCTCGTATTAACGTAGATTATTACAAAATTTTGATTGATTTAGCTTTTGTGCCACGTCAAAACATGTTTTGGCTATAGTTGGCAAATCTGACTTGAAACTAATTAACAATGTCACAAAATTCGTTCAGAACATTCTTAAATAGTTTTTAAAAACGATTTTTTCTTAAATATAGTATAAAGGAACGAATATAATACGATATTCGTAGAAAAAAAAGGACAACTGTACCTGCCAGGGCTCGAACCTGGGACCTTCCGCGTGTTAGGCGGATGTGATAACCACTACACCACAGGTACATATGTTGCATTAAAATACGATGGCTTTATCTTCATTTTAAAATAGATTTTTTTTTCTTGATTTTATGGGGGTTAAATAATTGAAAAGCAAAAAAATTTGACAGGTTTTTAAACGCAATAAATTTTTGGACCACTGACAAAAAATATTTGAGAGCAATAACTAAAGAAAACAGTATGATGATTCCAGATCAAACAGTATTTTAATACTTTACACAATCAATTATCTTTAAATAAAACAGCTTTTGGGGATCTGTTTGATGGATTTAGTAAAAATTAAATGGTTATTGATATACAGAAGAGTGTACAGATTAATGCGTGTACTATAAATGCATTATTATTATAGAATTTATCAAACTCTAAGTCAAACAGAAAAAACTACGATTTCACCAAAAAAATGTTTAAAAAATTGAAACTGTTAGCATTTTATTTAAAATACCCGAGAAACATTTAATTCTGATATTTAATCATATATAAAGTGATAAAAACAAATTGCATTGAAAAAGTTGTATACCAGATAGATGATTTAAAAATTTTCATTTTTTTTAAGAAACATCGAAATGCTTTAAAAATATGAATGCAGATTCATAATTTTTTTAATTTATTAAAAACGTAGTTATAATGATAAAAAAAAAGCAACAAAAGTATTCCTGAAAGTTTACTTCGATTACGATAGATGGCAGCATGCATTTCATATTTTGTGTGAGTTGAAATTTCTAAAGTCGTATTTTTTATTATTTAGTTTCTACCTGATTTTTTTTAAAGAAAGGTTGATTGATTTCTAATGAAGAACAAAAGAAATATTTTTTCGAGAACAAACACTTATTCACTAAAATTTCATTGTTAGACTTCATAAACTTGGTCACTAAATTTTGATACCACTAATCTATACGAATGTTTATTGTTATTTTTCAATATTACAGTCAGTTACAAAATTCTGAATATAAAATTTAAAATACAGCTTATGATTAATTATGGTGGAAAATCTAATCCAGAAATACAAAATTGAATAAAAATTTTCTAATCACGTGCTAAGCGAATATTTTACTATGTAAGTCGAATACAATTTTCATATTCCTCTAGTTTCATTTAATAATAAATATATTCAAAAATTAATTAATAATATCCTCCAAAAAACTATTAAATATATCCTCAGAAAAATATCTTTAATAACTTGAAGAATAGCATTCTTAATAATATTTGCTGTTTATTGTATTGAGCAAAATATAATGAATTTTGTTACTTTTATGTATTTATGAAAACAAATTTTATTCTTATCCTAAGGATATTTTTCGTGTTTCATATTTATTATCTCATGACAAAAAGAAAACATTTTTATTTACATTTAATAAATCTTTTTCCTCTCTTTCTATCATAAAATGACATTTCATTTGTTTCGCTTTTACTCTTTAGAAATGAATTACTTAAAAAACAAGCTTTTTGTAACAATTATAATAAAACTGAAGCTCTCAATATTAAGGCGACTACATTGTTGCGAGAAAATAATGCTCAAGTTTATCGAGCTTACACGGTACAAATTGATTCAAAGAACCTGAATGCCCATTCGTGTTCTTAGTGTCGGATGAAACGCCCTGGAGGTGCCTAGGCAGCTGACTTCTCGGGGCCCTGTAGCCTAATCATTTGACTACACAACGAATAGATTTCATTGTACAAATAAAGTAACAAATTATCAGAGATTAAAATAAATAAAATTATTTAATAGAATCTGTAATAAAAACAACTAACTCTTGCAATATAAAAAACCTAAATATTAGGTTTCCTCAATATTTTACCCGTGAATTCTTTTAGAACATCTTGGAATTCTATGTTCTGCAAAACGTCGTATTCAATGGTCATAACAGCAAGTGAGTTCAGTCTACCCTGAGTTATTAAAGATCGATGACAGTTTTTTAGCCTCTTTAATTTTCTGCGTTCACCAAAAGCATTTATCCTAAGACACCTGTATATTTTTAATAATGCTGTCATAACATTGGGAAACGTTGATTGCAACAAATTTATGAAAATAGGTTCGTAGGATCCCAATACTGGTACCGTTTCTTAATTTTTTAAATCTTCTATTTGTAATATGAAAGGCTTAAAATGAACCATTTCATCTGCAAATTTGAATTCGATGTTAACAGGATTCTCTAAATATTTGGGTAGATTTTTTAATTTCTGAATTTTCTCTTAGTGCGAAATCAAAGAGAAACCCAAATAGTAAAGATATTTTACTATATGCTTCCAAACGACAGTAAAATTCTTCATATAAATTGTCTAATATTGGTAGATAAGTTTCAATTTTGAATTTTTCCCTTCCTTGAAGCACAACATTGTTGGCACCACCGTCATTGTAATGACGTTTTCTCTTACACGCAGACATCTACATTCAGTCGCGTTATGCGAATCTATTTTCAAATTTGCCTTTCTTTCATATTCACAAAACCATTGCTTCTCAAAGTTTCAATATTCGCGACCTAAAATTCAATCATAATTTTCCTCGTGCCCCCTCATACAATAGCAACGTATTTAATTCAATCATACTATACTTTGACGTTAAAAATATGATATGACTTTAACCTCTTATGTACCACAAGCGGACATAAACGTCTCGTTCAGCCAAAGCGTTAATTTAACCGGACGCAAATATACGCCTTTCCGAAGTACGATCTTTCCTGTGCACTGCTATCCATAAAACTATTCCGAAAACTTGGGAATGTAATAAAAAGACCTTGGCAATGTTTGCGAAGGATTTACTTATTTCAGATTCTTTATCCCCTCCCTCAATACATCCCATCCGCGTGCCCCCGTGGAAATCGGTTGGCATTGGGAAGCAAACCGAGTAACTTTTAATCGGTAGTTAAGGGATTCATTATAAACCGTGCAAATTAACAACAGAAGTGTTAGCTTTTGTATATATGACAAACCCATGGGGGCACTGGTGATTCTTCAACTTCTTCTTAACTTAGTATTGTTAAATTAATTATGAAATACATTGTGTAGCACATTTATAAGTGTAATATGTCAGTGTAAATGTGTAATTTGTTTTTTATTATGTCAGAATGTTTGTTTACTTTCATTCAATTAATAATTTTTTTAAATAATCTTTTGTTTTAGTCTTTTCAATAGGCTCGCACCCCCTGATAGAGTTGTCACGCCCCTCAAGGGGGCGCCCCACAGTTTGAGAAACGCTGACGTAATGTTTTGTTCAGTTTTACTCATTGCGCTGTCTGTCTTCCCCTTGATTCGTATTGTTCTGCATAATGATGATTGTGTATGACTTGATTATTTGACGAAGATTAAAACAAAGGTTTTGGCAGAAAATCAAAATAGAAGGACATGCTTTCCAAGCGAATGTAGTAAATGAAATAATCAAAGTAGTCCTGTTTGTTATGAAAATCTAAACTCATGCCAGAATATCAATTTTCTTGTAACAGTACTTCCATTAGCTATTGTATCAACTTCCTTTAAAAACTTTGATATGTATCCAAATTTTTAAATGGAATTTTTACCTTTGAAAAAAGTGTTGAAAATCTTTCAAAAATTAAGCACGATTTTTAAAAAATATTCATAAAGAGATATACTTTTCTTAATTTTTTTGTGAAGGAAAATATTGAGATTGAGAAACATGCAAGAAAACACATGATAATGTTGTATATATATATGAATATTTATAAAAAAAAGTATCTTTCTAAGAAAAATATATTTCCAAATATTTTCTCGGTCTAACGTAAAATACTTTACGACAAATACTGAATCAGATGGGAAGGCTTTCTGAAGCCCAACCTTTATTGTCTCATCTCAAGAGGCGCTTGTTTCACCAATGTGTAGTTTAATACCAGTTATTTCAATTTTTTTCATGAATTCTCTTTTGAACGCCAAATGTATAAACCTTCTTCCACACATTTTGAGCATCAATGGTCAAAAGCAATTTTTCCAAGAGTCAGATTTAGTAGCAATAAGCATTGGATTATAATATTTTCTGTATTCAAGATATTTATTTCTGTATAACTTTAACAACTGGATTCTTATAATGCAGTAATCTACGCCTAGAGGCATGAAGCCTCGCACAGCCAATCTCGATGGACCCCCAAGGGACATTATGCTTTCTGGTCTTCTTAATAGGCATTAAGTACAAGAATGCCTGAAAAATAACATAACCAAGTTCGTTTCTCAACGACTGTATTTAGGCAAGAACTGTTAGTGCAACCGTTAAGAGTCTCAATTATATGAGTTATACGAGAAAAACAAAATTTCCAAAAATTTTCAAAATTTGTATTGAATGTTACAAAATGAACAATTGATGTATATCCGGCATGACAGTGGATAGACAAAACTCGAAATCTATCATCACATGATCAGAAAGGGACTCATTTTCAGAAAAACACCATCTCGAATTATCCTAGAGTAGTTCCAAACCAACAACCGTAATATTAATTTAGCTTGTACCCTGAGTTGCACGAAAAGTAGGCCCACAATCTCCGAAGCTGTTAGCAGAAATAAATTCACATCCCCTCGTGCATCTGAATAGGGACTAAACTATAATTCAGATTTGGTATTGGGGTCAGTAATCCAAGCCAATCGACTTTTGCAACTAAAAACTTGGCTGATTTTATGAAGATCCGAGTCAATGTTTTTTGAAGGTTCAAAATAATAAGAGAAAAGAGTGAACGCAGTTATGCTTGTGGTAACATCTAAAGTGAGCATATATTGTAATCAGTATTTTTATATTCAAGAAAGGTTGAAAGATGACATGAACGAACAGTAATGGCTGCCTTAATAGCGTTAGAATTAGGATCATAAAAAAGTCTATAAGTACTGGGATACCCCGGAAATGAACTCCTGTAGCTATGAGGTTCTTGAACCAGCTCACAACCAATGTTATCTGCTTCCAAATTTAAAATGAGTTGTGTCGAAGATTTAGACTTGTGTAGGTTTAACTGCACACACTTTAGAAGTTGTTCATCTGACCTATTTATAATTAATTCTAGATTGGGTATTCTTCT